TTTGCGGGTATATCAACCTTATTTAGATGCTACTTCTAATACACTTAAAAACCTTATGTGACAATCAGGGAAATTTGATTACTGACTAGGTATGTGGTGACATTAAGGAATTAAGTCACTGGTACAGCTGGACATCTGCAAGCTTCCCACTTACCTCAAAAATAAGAGCAAACCAGAATGTTCCCTCTCGATGAACAGACAGATCCTCAGAGAAAACCCAGAGGGTCTGAACTGAGCATTCTCAATTCATTTTCTTAAACTCTTTTATTACATCAATGTGTTAGAGAGAAGCCAGAGATGTTTCTCTAGTAGAAGTCTCTTCAGGAAACCTGAGCTCAGAATAATGGAGGTTTCCCTAATAGAAGTCACAGGGATTTTCTTGTGTTCTAATACTTACAAACTTGACATAGGTTAGCTTCCTGTTTGTTATTTGGGGGAGGGGAAAATTTACCAAAGGTTTTACCTTTGCAAATGACCATGGGAACTATGGAATTTTCCCATCTCTATTCAGGTTGTGAGCTAAAAAAGGAACCTTACACCTTCAGATACTAGAATTGTGTTATTATATACATTTTACTTAATCAAGGGAAAAATTTGATGTTCAAGTAGATGTAGTGAAAGAATCAGTGGCTTCAATGTCTATGGTTCCTGAAAATGCTTTGAAATTGCCTTCAAGTTTTCTTATGTCTGTCTATAGACTTCTCTAATTTTCTTCTAGTAGTACTAGCTTATAAGTAAAAGTCTATTTTAAATGATAATTTTGTTATTTTTTATTTTTGGTCTCTGATTTTGTAGTAGCATTTTAACTTTATTATATTTCAAATAATATATACCATTTTAGTTGCTTCATGATTAGAAAGTACTTGTGGGTTTGGTCGGAAGTTAGCTAACACTGGGACTTCTGTATTGCCATAATACATTGTATTTATATATTTCCAGTGCTTTATGGTTGTGAAGATACTGAATACAGGAAAGTTTATGTTCAGGTATATGGGCTATCTTTTTTATGTCCTTTAAGGTTGTATTTGAGTGTATAGCACCTTTGACTTAATTGAAATAAGTTCTCAGAATAAGAACTATTAAATAAGCACTTAGGTAATGGAGAGAGGAATTACTTATGGAAATATTTTATTTTATCCAAATCTTTGTCTACCTTTGCTGTATTTCAGCCCATACTTGGCAAGAATGTGAGTACTTTCTCTGAGATGTTCCAAAGGAAGGTGTTTAAAGGGAATGATTTCTATAAACTGAAATGAGTATAAATGAGAGTTCTCAATGGATTCATAATTTGGACCCTGTAGCATTACATAATAATGTAGACTGTGAGTTCTTTAAGGGTAAGCACTATCTCATTGATGTTTACTCTTAGGATCAAGCAGGTAGACATATAAAGTTAATGCTTATTGTATGGTGGGCGCTTGATAAATGCTTCTTGAGTGAGTGAATCATCAGCTCTCACAGCAAATTTAATTCTCACAGTTAGGGAAGGAGAGGATGAAACAAGTCTAGAAGCTCTGCAGTAGGTCTTCATTAAATCATGCTCCACTTTTTAAAAACTTTTTTCATACGTATAGCTTTTGCTTAGTCATTTAATTATATAGTCTCAATGGGTATTTTTAGTCTTGGTTTCCAGTTGAGAAAGTTGAAGGTTATGTATAAGAATGAGACAGGAAAATTAAAAAAAGGAATTTATTTTTGTATGTAGTGTTATTCTGGGCTTTACATTTTTTGAATTTCTATTTTTGTAGTGACAATATATTGGTATATTAATCATGATAAAAGGAGAAAGTGAGGTTATACTGATACTATTAATGAATCTGTTTCACAGAGCCCTTTCTATACTTAAATATTTGCTTATTCACTGGAAAAGCTTTTTTTTTAGTCCTTAAAATCTTCCGGATGTAACCAGATATTTGTTGGATTAGAAAGTGCTATATTAGATCAGTAATTATGGCAATTACTCTGTTTCATTGATTCTAAAAAGCCTGTTTTTTTCTATTTTAACATCTCTAACATGTAGATGAATCATATAATTGATGGTGTTTTTTATTTATAACTGACAGCATTTTGTCTTGATAGTAGATAAAATAATAGAATGTCTTAAAGTTGATGTCTCAGATTTGATAAATTACAGTACATTTCTAAACAGTCACTAAGTTTTAAGATCTTGAAGAAAGAACCACATATAACTGATCCTGGCATTTCCCTAACACTTGGTATGAAATCTCACTAAATATATTTTGTGCTAATCAGTAAGATTTCTCTTAAAATCTTATATTTAGACATGAATCTTTGGGTTCTATTAATTTAGAGTGTTTTAAAAAAATTGTATATTGTTATATGACAATATAGCCATTATTCTTCCTTCTACTGAATAGATTAAGCCTTATTGACATTTTAATTATTCCTTTTTTATAGTTCATTACTTCTTTTCATCAATTACAGTGTATCTTACCGTTAAGTATTCTTCAGTTAAATTTTCATTTCTGATTTGGACATAGCTGGAGTGTATGCTTGACTGATGAGGATAAATTGATTTCATGTAAGATAAACTAATATAATGCTGCTAGTTTTCAGTTATCCATCCTAGGAGAATGAATAATTGTAGTTTGTGAATGATCTCCCACCCCTTTATTAGTTATTCTGTGATAGGGACTAATATGTAGCAAAGTCATACTGGTTTGCATTTTAAAGCTTCATGTTTCCTCTTTAGAGGAGGTGATAATACATACTGAAATGGCAAAAAAAAAAAGCAATAGAATATTTGAGAATTGAAAAGCCTGAATAATCCACAAACTGGGTAGTTGACCTCTGAGCAGTAAAAAATTGGCTGTGATTTCGTGCATTACTATTGAGCATTGTTTAGATTTAACTTTTGTTCACTACTGATTGAATTAAAATTTGAGGTGAAATGCTCTATATCTCATTTCTAGACTCTCATTCAATCATCTCATTGTGAAGTGAGATTCAGACATGATAAAACAATAATGAGAAGTTAAAAATCAGGGTTAGAAAAAAGTATGTATGTTCAACCTACAGTCTTCTAAGAGGGAGAAAAGCAATTATAAGAGTTTCAAGAATCAATAGAAATTGATGTTTTATACGAAGGAAAACTTAAGATTTTAAGCCCTGCCCTCCCTACCATCACTAGACAAATAGAAAGAAATCAATAGGCCTAGAAACATAAGCTATTAAATACTTATATCCAGCAACCATTTTGATACTCAAGGCTTTGTTTAAATATTCTGATTCAGAAAACGTATTTAATTAAGCATAAGAAATTAAGTTTTTAAATACAAAATGATTGTTTTCTTTTTAATCTCCACATCTTTTATATGTTTCATTTTGAAAAAATAAATGTTGGGTATAGATTTTAAAATAACTCTTTGTATGGTTTCTATCTAGTTAACTAAGAAGTTTTAAAGCTCCTTTCTGTTAAAAAAATATATAGTTCTTTATTAAAAATTAACTAATTTTGACCAATTTCCCATCTTCTGGATAGTCTCTTAGCTTCTGCAGTAGATGTAATCAAAGGATTTTTGAAATAAGTACTGAGTATGGGAGTTTTTAGAGCCAGTGAAGACAATAGCTACATATGAGATGTTGAAACTGAGCATGGGAAATTTGAACTTGAAGCTCAGTTAAGTAATGTTTTATATGACTGAGGTAGTGAGAGTGTATGGATCTCTATAGGTTAAAATTCATTAAGAAAGGTTCTCTCAGGAACAAAGTAATTTTTGTGTCTAGTGTATCAATTCTACTTCTCTCCCAATGACACACACGTGGCTAACAATGTTTACTTTAATGAAGACATTCAAGACATACTCAGATTTTGTGAAACACTAACAATCTTGCAAGGAATGGTAAGTTTTCTAAATGACATAGCTGCTAGAGGAGTACCATTTATTAATGGCTGTTAACCATAGGGAGTCAGTTATATGCAGGTCATAGTTTGTTCTCTGTATTACCACTTCTTTCTTTCTTGTTCAAAAAAGCAAACCTTGAATTCAACTGAATGAAAGTGATATTATGGGAACAACTTTGAACTGATTTTGGTTTATTAAAGAATCATTTACAAACCTGTGTACTACATTATTAGTAACAAATTACTTGATGTGCTTACAGTGTGATTTCTGTACACCACTGTGTCAGGATACTACTTGAGAACAGTGCTTCTTGATTTTACTATAATGCAGCCACTATGATGAATATTCCTGTACAATAAATTATTTTTCTTGATAGTGTTTGTGTCATGGATATCTTCTCTACCAAATGTAGATGATTATTCTTTGACATATAGTGAATGGAAAGTAAAGAGGAAAGAGAAAGTATAATTGAGTTCATCATAGCTGCAGCTCTTTTTTCATGCTAAGAAGCAAACGTTCTTTTATGTCTCCTCATTTCAGGGATTTTCACTAAAAAACAAACAAACAAACAAAAAACCCAAAAGACCAAACATTCCAAACCAAGAACACAGTATTTATGTGGAAAGACCCAGACCTAAGAACTGAGAGGAGCAAAGGAAAGATCTTGGCTTTAAATAGTAGAGTTAAAATATGTAAATATCTTTACCAAGAAAATAATAGAAGCAATGAACTTATCTAAGAACATGATTTCTTTGTTCCACTCCTGGAATATCACTTCCTGTCAGTGTAGCTTTTCCTCAGCTTGGTTCCATGTCACTTAAGTCAGAGTTTAATCATATAATTTTAAAGCAGGGAAGAACTTTAAAGATCATTTATAGATCTCCCTTATTCTTACATGCTTAGTAGTTTGTTCGTTCTAACTCTGAATGGTCTTACTTATCTTTGAATTCTTAGCACCTGGCACAAAATTTAGAAGGTATTCTATAAGTATTTGTTAAATTAGGTTAAAGAACTTAATCTGCATTGTTATTTGTCAGTTAAAATACAATTAATAAGATCTGATGGTCTTAGTAATTGTTGAACTTAAATGTGACCAGTGACTGTTTTTTCCTTAACCTTTTTTTTTCTAACCAGATTTGCATCTGCTGGTGATGATGGAATTGTAGTTGTGTGGAATGCCCAGGTGTGTAATGATTCTCTGTGAATTGTGTCATAAAGTTGAGTATGCGTTCATAAACATTATCTGGGGATATACCTGCATATCAGTAGACTAATACTCGAAAGGGGCTACTTAGGATGAATCCATTTAAAATGAGGACCAGTATTTCATAATAGAGTTTTTTTAAGATTTTTCCTGAGAAACAAATGCCAAATTATGAAAATAAAAGTTTTTATCTTACTTAAACAAAATTTAAGTTATTGGCAACTATGCATTGATTCTGAAAATATATCAGGTGTTGATTTTTGTGGGGGGCAGTTTTTCTGTCAAAATTGTTTAATAGCATAATAAAACATTCTTCTCCTGTTTGACTTTAATAGTATTATAATAAAAGTCTTATTTTTTCAAATATATTTAAGGCTTTACCGAATTTCTCAGGACCTCTCTTCCCGATCCTTTGATACTCAAGTTACTCTCATTTGAAGCATTTATCTTCTTCTCGCCCTTGTTTGTACTGTTATCTGATCTGACTCTGTCAGATCCTCAGTTTTCAAAGGCTTTGCCTGTGATTAATGCAGTTTTTTTTTAACATTGTGTCCATCATATACATGAATTCCTGCAACCTTGGAAAGATTTGTAATGTATGTTATTATTTACATTGCACTTTTATATGTTTACTACTTGGGAAATAGTGAGAGACTGCTGGACGAAGGCATTGTATGGATGGGGATAGCTGTTGATGTTAAGAGAGAAGTAGAGTGAACACTGACTTTGTGAGTGGTTGATACAGTATTGGATATATTTGAATGTATATATAGTTACTGTATATATTTGTGTGTATGTATATATATATATATATATATATATATATATATATATATAATTGATGTTATGCTGCCTCTTATTTTCTTTCACAGCTTTGTAACTGTGAAGACTTAGATAACAAATATTTGGGCAATGAGGATTCCCTATTTCCCTGCAGATTAGGTTACTGATATTTTTATGCTTAATTTACATAGTTATATTCTTAAAACCATGTGGAAAGAATATCCTTTAAATTTCCTATAAAATATGCTAAAGTTAGTATTTTCTATTAAAAGATAAATTGTTTATGGCTACTCTTTTCAGCACTGTTTAGGTTTTATTTGGTTACTTAAAGTTAAATTATAAGATCCAAGTAATTTTAGATGGAATGTATGTATTTTCTACCTGGTGATTTTTCTTAATGTTGTCATTTAAGATTATTTAAGTTATGAAATATGAAATACTATTAACATTTTTATTGATATTTCAGACAGGAGAAAAACTTCTGGAACTCAATGGACACACTCAAAAGATAACAGCTATTATTACGCTTCCTTCTTTGGAAGCTTGTGAAGAAAAAAATCAGCTGATCTTGACAGCCTCTGCTGATAGAACAGTTATTATATCCTTAAATCCAGAACCAAGTGAAACAGCTGTGGTGACCCAAGGGGCCAGTACGTACATTGTTAGTCTTTAGCCTCTTGGGGCCTGTCTGTACATTTCTATTTTAGCAAAAATGATTTTGTTCTACCCTTCGTAAGACATTTAAAAGTATTAGGCATCTGAAAAGTAATAGACTGGAAATAGCCGGTTAAGGCTTATTATTGATGGAAACTCCATGATTGAAGCTGTTCTTTCCAGAGTTACTATTATATCAAATTACATAAAATAGAGGAAATGAGAGAATGTAGCTTTAAAAATATTTATTACCTCAGTTTGCTTTCCAATTTAGAGGAGCAAAGATGATTTGAACTAGAGAATAGTTCATACTTTTTTCTGCTCATTGTACAGCCAGAGAAACTTGATGCCCTGAACCCATAAGAACCTTTGAGCATCTGAGTCTGTCAGAAAAGAGAATTACCATCTGCAAGTATTTAACATATTTAGTATTTTAAAACAATTTAAAAATGTTAATTACCTCTTCCCCCTACATGTTTCGTTAAAAAATTCAAGATATAACAGCTACAGTCAAGTTTTATAAATTGTTTATGTGTACTAGGCATTGTTCTATTTTCATTTATTAACCCATTTAATCCTTGTAATAAGTATTTTTATTATTTGCATTTATAGATAAGAAAAGAGAGGCACAGAGGGATTAAGTAACTTGCCCAAGGTCATGCAGCCAGTATAGGGCAGAGTAGAACTCTAAACCACTTTGTAATACTGTTTTCATGAAGTATTTTCTTAAACAAATTTAGCCCTTTTATATTTGTATGAGGAATTGGGTCTGTGAAGGGCATAGCTAAATGTTGTAGATGACTAATTTTTCATTACTGTTTTTAAGGTGGTAATAGATTAGCTTTTAAAAGTCTGTGCTTATCTGACAATTCTGTTTAAATAGCTTCAAGCATTAGTGAAGTAAGATACGGAGTAAGCCCAAAGTATAGGTGTTTCTTAGGCTTCTGTAGAATCAACACATACTTTATGACACGTTTTAAATGAGCTTGTCAGCTGAAGTGATTTCTACACGGACTGCCAGTGGGCAAAAAAATTTCAAGAGAAGGTTTAAATAGGGATAAGCTATATGTTGTGATTACAATAGTGCATAAACAGGGGCATAAAATACACTTATGTTTGTGTCAGAGTAGCCCTACCACCATTGCTTTACTGGGGCAAATGTTGTTTTATGGACGAAAGCTCTTCTTTGTTTGTTTGTTTTCAGTATCAGGATAGTCTCTGCAAAAATAAAATTTAAGGTTTATTTATGTATTTAACTGAGGTACTGGGGATTGAACCCAGGACCTTGTGCATACTAAGCACACATTCTACCACTGAGCTATACGCTCCCCTCTTAAACATAGAATTTAAAATACTTTCTTTTATTAGACTGTACCTAAGGTACTGTAATACTATTTAGAGGCAATTATTAAAATTACTATTACAAAACAGACATGAATAGTTGGGACAACATCAGTGTAAACTTTAACTGTAAATGATAGTATAGAGTCATTTCCTTTGCTGAATGACTTGTTAAAAATAATTTCAGTCTCGTTTGTTCATAGTTCCTTTTATTCATATGAATTCTAAATTTACTCGTTTTGGGTCTCTACTGTTAACTCCATTAATTAAATGCTGAGGGTAGATTTTAAAATTTTTATCAAGTGATAGTCTTAAGAGTCCATATATATACATATATTATATATACTTTATATATATTTGTATGTAAATGTGTTCTCAGATATGATAGAAAATGTGTATTTTACCATAGGAAATGGTATGAAGAATTTGAAAATCATTATGCTCCTTAAGTCAAGCTAACATTGGACATTTAATGAGGAGTCTTCTAATTTATGTGTACAGGTAATAGGAATACACTGTTACTGTCTTCTTTCAATTAAGATAACAGTAGTAAACCATGCCAGTCACGTTAAGGAAGCTTTCAGTAAATGTTAATTAATGGATGTGATAGTTTTTAGTATAAATACTTTATGTTCAATGTTTATTAGATGATAGTAGACTGTTTGGGAGAATAAACCTTAAATTTTATATAGTTGCAATATTTAATGCCTGTAAAGATTCAGTATTCAGACCATTCATTTTGTTAGTATTTTCAAATAGTTAGATAGTAAAATTTAGAATGTTAAGCCTAGTATGCTAAGTTGATGAATTGATTTTTATAGTAGTATAAACATGGAATACTTTTTGCTTTATTTAGAGATTTTCTACATAAATGTGTGATGTTTGTGATTTATTTATTAGAAAAATTTTCTCATAATTAAGGTTTTAAAATTCTGCTTAGAAATTATTTCTTAACATAAATTTAGGTATGGGATTGTGATACTGGCAGACAAGTTCAGAAAGTATCATGCTTCCAGTCTACTGTAAAGGTAAAGTCTTAAGTAGATACTTAATGTTAATAATCTTTTTGTTTCAGAGAAAAAATTTTTTTAATTGAAGTACAGTCAATTGCAATGTGTCAGTTTCTAGTGTACAGCATAATGTCCCAGTCATGCATATACATACGTATACTCGTTTTCATATTTTGAAAATTGTTTAATAATTCAGATGAAATTACTTCTTCCACACATACCTACAGTTATGTGATTCTTCTAAGACTAGATTTTGGGGAGTATATATATTAAATGCTAGAATGTTTGAATTTTAAATTAGAGCAAGGGGTGAATTGCTATAGTAAGATAAGGAAAAGATAGTACATAGTATGTTTTTAGTAGATAATTCTAGGAAGACACACTACTTTCAAAGTGACTATAGCAGTAGCTGGTCTTTTTTTTTTTTTTTTTTAACTTTGAACTAAAAACATGGAGTTATTTGTCCCTCAGCCTCTATCTTCTGTAAGATCATAAGGATAAGACATGGCAATTAGTTCCAAAACAACATCTTTTATGGCTAATTGGCTGCTACTATTAGGTTCATTCATTTTACAAACAGATACTAATTGAGGATTATTACTTGATAGGAACTCTGTTACATGTTGGAGAACAAACTTGGATAAGACTTGGCTACTTTGTTTCCTATAGAAGAAATTACCTTAATTGTTTTCAGAAAATACCCCTGGTTTTCAATAATGTCAGCAATTTGGGGGTGGGATACTACTAAAGTAGAATAGTGTTTCCTCATTTCCTTTGAAGATTGCTGATCTCTGTATGGGAGCTAACACTTTTTTTTTTAATGTGAAAAGAATTGCTGTGTGCCAGTGGACAAAGTATTTTATTTTTTTTTCCTGAAAGGCAGCATCTCTGGTAGCCATCTCATGCTACTCTGCTGTTCTAACTATCAATTTAGTAAAGTTTCAGGGAAGAAAATGCCATTTACTATATACTTGTTTCCAATTTCACAATGAGTGTCTTTGAAGAAGTCATTAAAGTATTGACTTGATCAAGATCTGTATGCTTTATGTGCTTTAAAAAGATGCCCTTGTTTAAATTCCTTAAAAAATACCCTTGTTATCTGACTGAGGTCATTAGGTTTCAAATGAAAATACTTGAATTGAAGGAATTGAGAGGGAGAAAAAATTTAGTGTATCTGGGAAAAATTCCTTTGGTGAGCTGTTTCATGAACTGGTCAATAAAAAATATCTTTTTCCAGTATGGTGAAAGTACTTAAAGGGGTTTTACCATACTGTTAATCAGCTAGATAGTTGTATTTATTCATGCCATGAACCTGTATCACATAAAAAAAATTATTAAATATAGCATTTCACTGAGTTTAGTTGAATGGTTCAATAATTTATCAAAGAAATTCAGATCCTTAATAAATATAAGGAATACTATTATTTATTTTTTGAACTAGTGAAATTTTTATAAGGGATAGTGTTAGCAAGGACATGGTGAAATTGGCAAGTTTATTGCCATTGAGATTATAGTTAATATGATCTTCCTGGAAGGCAGTTGGCATTATGAATGAATCTTTAAAAATGATTATATGAATTGACCCAGTGATTCTACTTCTAGAAAACTCTTTAAAGGAAATAATCAAAAATTTGGGCAGAGATTTATGGAAAGAAATGTATATTACAAACATGTTTTATAAATGGATGATTGGTAGTATCCTTTATGTCTTATAGTTAAATTATGGTAGATACATATGCTGAAAATGGTTTCAGAAGAATACACAGAATTTGGAAAATGCTAATGATAAAATGTTAATTAGCAAAGGCAGTATATTATCCTCAGTAAAATATTATCAAACCAAATTTAGCAACATCTCCAAGTGAGATTTATCTCAGGAATATGAGTTCAACATATGAAAAATAATACCATAGTAAGAATAAAGTGCAGAACACATGTGATCATTTTATTAGATGCAGAGAAAGCATTTGACAGACTCCCAACACTCATGATAAAAATACTCAACAAACTAGCAATAGATGAGAACTTCTTCAGCATAATAAAGGGCATTTTTATTAGGAAACCCCAGACGTAACATGTTACTAGTGAAAGACTGACTGAATACATTCCCCCTGAGTTCAGGAACAAGACAAAGATGTGTGCTCTTGGCATTTCTCTTCAACATTGTACTAAAGGTTCTGACCCAGGACAGTTAGATAATAAAATGAAGTCAAAAGCATCCGTTTTAGAAAGGAAGAAATAAAACTGTCTTTATTCACAAGTGACATGTTTTTCTATATGGAAAATCCTAAATCCATAACAAAACTATTAGTACTAATCAATGGACTTAGCAAGATTTCAGGATACAATCTCAATGCACCAAAATTACTGTATTTCTGTAAACTAGCAATGAACATTCAAAAATGTAATTAAGAAAGCAATTTATTTGCAGTAGCATCCAAAAGAATAAACTACTTAGAAGTAAATTTAAGGAAGAGATATGAGACTTGTATGCCAAAAACTACAAAACATTGTTGAAAGAAACTATAAAGAAAATCTAAATAAATGGAAGGAAATTCATGGATCAAATTTAATATTGTTAAGATTGCAGCACTACCCAAAATGATTAACAGTTAAACATAATCTCTGCCAAAATCCCAGCAGGCTTTTTTCCCCTCAGAAATTGACAAGCTGATTCCAAAATTCATAGAGAAGGACAGGGGACCCCAGAATAGCAAAAACAGTTTTGAAAAGAAAGAACAAAGTTGCATGATTCAAACTTCCAAATTTCAAAATTTGCTACAAAGCTGTAGTAATTAAGACAGTGTGGTACTGGCATAAGGACAGATACACAGGTCAATGGAATAGAATTGAGTCCAAAAATAAAACCTCACGTATACAGTCAATTGATTTTCGACAAGGGTGCCAGGACCCATCAATAAGAGAAAGAATAGTCTCTTCAACAAGTAATACTGGATTAACTAGTTATCTACATATAAAATAATGAAATTGGAGCCCATATCCAAAAATTAATTCAAAATGGATCAAAGACCAAAATCTAGGAGCTGAAACTGTAAAACTCTTAGAAGGGATATAGGAGTAAATCCTTGTGTTCTTGGGGTATGTAGCTTAGATATTACACCAAAGCATAGCAACAAAAGAAAAAAATGATAAATTGGACTTCATCAAAATGAAAAGCTTTTATGCTTCAAAGGATACCATCAAGAAAGTAAAAAGACAACCCATAGAATGGAAGAAAATATTTGCAAATCATATATTTGATAAGAAGCTTGTACATTGATTATATAAAAAGAGCTCTTAGAATTTATCAATAAAAAGATAATTAAAAGTAGACAAAGAATTTGAATTTGAAAGACATTTCTTTAAAGAATATGAGCAAATGGCCACTAAGCTCATGAAAAGAAGCTCAATATCGTTAGTCATGAGAAATACAATTCAAAATTATAATGTAATATTACTTCACATATACTAGGTGGCTAATATCTAAAAAAGAGATAATAACAAGAGTTGATAAAGATGTGGAGAAATTAGAACTTTCTTACATTGCTGATGGGGTTATAAAATGGTACAGCCACCTTGGAAAGTAGTTTGATAGTTCATCAGATTGTTAAACAGAGTTATCACTTGACCCAGCAATCTCCTGTGTATGCCCAAGAGAAATAAAAATGTATGTCCGCGCAGAAACATCTACATGAGTGTTCATAGCAGTATTACTCATAATAGCCCAAAAGTGGAAACAGCCTAAATGTCAGTGAACCAACGAATGAACAGAATGTTGTATAACCATACACTGGAATATTTTTTGGCAATAAAAAGGAATATAGTACTGACATTAAAAAAAACCAGAGATTAGACACACTAGGATCTCTTAAAATATAAACTGCACTGATATTTTCAACCCTTTTTTTTCCCCCAGCAGTTTTAAAAGCAACCCCACCCTCAGCCCAGGAAAACTTCCAGAACCTTTTTTTTTTTTAATTCTTTTCTCTTGCCCTTGTGCTCACTCAGAGTTGATAGGTGGGGAGAATACTGTTAAAGGACTTCTGTCAACCTTGAAACAATTAATTTCCTGAGTTACGAATTAAGGAGATATTAATTTGTGAAAGATATAGAAAAAAATAAGGTCATATTTTCAGTTTTACTTTAAAAGTTTATTTTAAGCTTGTGTATCAGTTACCTGTTACTGAG